GCTGAAGTAGCTCCTGGAGAAATGGGAGTCAGCAGTACAAATGATGGTGAAGAAATTTTCAATGCAGAAACAGTTACTGCTCAAGCTCGGGATGGGTTTAGTTTTGGGATTAGTGGAGGGAGTGTTGGTATGTGTGCTAGTCATGAAGCCGAAATTCATGGTGCTGATGTTTCTGTGCACAGAGCAGGTAGTGTAGTTGGGGATGTGGAACCCAGAATAGAAGATGCTGAAAATCAAGGTCAGACTGGTGAATCTGCTCCTGATCCTGGGTTAATGGATGAGATTGTCCCTAATGAAATAAACAGGGAAGATCCTCATGGTGATAGCCAGGAGATGCTGTCTCGATCTGTGGAAAGAGCTGACAGTGGCTCAAAAATAGATGGTTCGACAAAAGCTGAATCTGTTGAAAGTGGTGAAAAGGCAAGCCGAAGCTGCAAATTAGCATTAGATAACAATGCCCATCCCTCCCTTTCTTGCAATGCAAACATCTATTCAGGCTATGAAATGACCAACAAAGGGGTTTCAAAGGGTGGAAAATCATCATCTGTTAACAACTGTCCATGTGCAGAATCAGATTATGCAGTTGGCAATGGGATAGGTAAGTTTAATACCTTGTGCTTGGCTATCATATTGAATGCCTTTTCTTTTCCTCACAACTTTAATAGAATTCTGAAAATATCCCTGCATTGTAACTATTTCTGAAGTGGATTTTTGTTATTGGGGTTGGTAATAATTATATCGCATAGAATGTATAAAGGAACGGAATTCCTTAGCTTCAGTGAGCTATGATGTACAATTTGACATCAGGATTTTGGACTTGTGAGTCTCACTGTCTAGCTCCACATTCTGTTCTTTAAGAATCTTTTGGTGATTGCTAGCATGCAAATCATTTAAATAATAATGATTTATCTGCAATAATAGAGAATTGATGAAGGGTGCCAGCCTAATTATTGAAATACAAGGTTGTGATTCTCCCCGGTTTGTTTATATTCTATTTTCCTGTGTTTCTTTCTCTTTTTTGTTGTTGACGCTCTTACATAACTTGATATAGCTGGAAACTCTGGGATTTGACCTTGTGGAGGGAGAAAGGGGGAAAAGAAGAATAAACTAAAAAGTTGAGAGACATAGGCCAGTAGTTTAGTTTTGTCAGACTTATTAGGTGTGTTATGTTATGGCTGATTGATTTAGATAATTTAGTATGTTTGAATACTAGCCATATCAATTAAAACAAGACTGTAACTTGACAAACATTTCAATGCTATGTGTTAATGGAAATTCTCTTTCTAGTGCTAACTATCTTATCATATTTTTCTTCTTCTTCTTTAATTCTCTAAACAAATTATTGCGCTTGTTGCTGTTCAATTGTATGAGATGTTTGCTTTGTTGATGACATTCCTTATTGTCCATTTATTTTTTGACAACTCCAGTGCATCATTGCATCTATTATAAAAGTATTGATGACTAGTAGGATTTGTTTGCAAAATTCGGTGACAAGTTGATATATATACCTAAAACATATTAAATAGAAAATGATTTCAAGGCTTATCAAACTAGCTTGACGTTTGCTTTCTTCATCTTGTATGTCATTTTTCTGACTTTTCCCTTAAGCATTAACAGTTGAAACTAATCATTCACATGTGTCGGCTAAACTGAATAAGGTGTGCATGATTTGAGGGTTTGGTTTGGGAATCATGATTTCTTACCTCGACTTCTGAGAGATATAAATAGCTGTATCTCCTCTTTCCCTGTTAACCTTGGAAAATTTTGCTACTTGAGAAACAAATAAACAATTCTTCTCAGCTTGATGTTCCATATGTTGGGAAAATGCTATTTGAGTCATCAATCCATTTGAATCCATCCATGATAGTTGTGGGCTCTTGGCTGTGATTTTCTACCCTTCTAGGTCGGTTTCAGTTGACTTCTCAATGGATTGGGGTGTACCCTTCTAGAATAGAAATGTGGCACACACCACTGCAGTTTATCATGTTGCTTTAAACAAGGCAAATTTTTATTTATTACAGCAGTAAGAAGATAAGACACTAGCAGTTCTGTTCATAAATTGATTGTTTTGATGTTTTTCAACCATTTTATTGAAGCACAAGCTATTTCTATTTTGTGGTGGGCTATTTTCGTTGCTGGCTGAATTTCCTGTTTGACCTGGAACTTCTTTCATCACTGAGTCTTCTTTATTGTTTACTAAATCCGTGATGACAATTTAAAACTTTGAAGATCCTACTACTTTGTGCTCACCATGTTATTCACACCACTTGATTCTCAGGGCCTCCAAAAGGTGAAAGCGATTATGAAGAAGCTATAGAATTTGATCCAATTATTCATCACAACAAGTTCTGCCCATGGGTTAATGGAAATGTTGCTGCTGCTGGCTGTAGTAGTCATGGTTCTGGCAGTAATGCAGATACTGCTGCGCTCTGTGGGTGGCAGCTGACTTTGGATGCATTACGATCATTGGGGAGTATGCCAATTCAAACTGTACAGTCCGAGTCTGCTGCATCTTTGTATAAGGTTAGAAATACTCTGAATTATTTTCCTTCTATTTGAGCAGAAAATAAAGGAGTGATTGGTACCAACTTAATATATTAGTTTACCTAGTCCTGGATGTTGAATCTATTTCTCAGTTTTCTGTTAAGTATCTTCTATGTCAAATCTGTTATCTTGTGTTACAATGATGTACAAATTAATGGTGTCACTTTACATCACAGGACAATGCAAGGAGAAGGCAATTCATTTCAACATTGAGAAATTGTTTAAATATGCATGGAAAGTGGAAGAAATAAATAGAAAAAATTGGACTAGGAGTATTTGTGGTAGAAGTAACAATTAACTGATGTTCATACTCTTTTAGATGGATAAATGTCAGATTTGGGTTCAAATTCCATGATTGAACTTATTTGTCCATGTGATTTTTTTTATTTTTATTTTTGCAATTGCCATGCAAGTCTTCATTTATAACAAGCCACCTTCTTTTGCTGGAATTTTGGTGATAATGTAATTTTCTTCAATAACTGGTGGAGAGTCATTGATTCTTACTGTGATCCAAGTTTCCTATCTGCCATCCAGATTTAATGATGATCCTGACTGCACAATCTTCTGATTGCATTTTCTCATTACCCTTTGTTGTAAAAGGGCATGTGCTGTGAGTTTAGGTTTTCATGTGTTAAGATGATCAAAATACTCTGGTTTAGTGCTAATTGGCCCTGCATATGCCTCACCTCCTCCCTACTACCCCCAATAGAGGGGAAAGCAGCAGCTCTTTCCTAAAACCGACATGAATGCTGTCATCTTTGTTTTCATGGATTCTTTTACTTTCCATTTTCATTTTGTTTGTCTTTTTAATTTTGAAGTACACTGTTTACATTTTTGCATCTTTGGTTCTTTAAATGCATATGCCATAAATCTGCTTTCGTAGGATGATCACCAAACTCCTGGTCGAAAGCTCCTTCGACAGCATTCTATGAGCAGAAGCCATGGGCAACATCGGGATTGATTTAATAGTAAAGGTACGTGTAGGATTAAATGAATGCTCATAGCTTTCCGTGTCCATGTGCCCCCTTTCAAGTTACCATTTGCTGCCTTTTTTAAAAAGCCTTATGCTGGATTTTTATTTATGTTCTCAATGAAGGTGGTTTTTTTTTTTTTTTTCTCTCCTTTGTCTTGTTTTCTGATTTGGAGGCTCCTCTTCGTCTCTCTTTAGGACTAAAGCTTCACATGTTTTCTGGTTTGGAGTCTCCTCTTTGTCTCCCATGAAGACTAAAGCTTCCTCCCTTTTTAAATATGCTCTTGAATAGATGAATCTGTTAAGGGCACCAATGTTAGTGTGTATTGGTTCTTTTTCTTTGCATGCACAAAGATGCAGAATAGAAACTGGAAAAGTATTCCACTATCACCATACGTGGATGAAATAAGACGTGTTGGGTTTACTTGTATTACGTATATGTTCTTAGGTGAGAGCCCGAGGCAAGCAGATTTATTCAATTTTATACTCTGGAAACCTCACCTAACACAAGCTGTCTTTGTGCAAAATCATTAATCTAAGAACACAAATAACTAACGTTGATCACGCACTATTTGTTATGCCATTGCTGTGTAGGACGAAGTGCATTAATGTTGGAAAATAACTCAGGGTTCAGTGTTGCTAATTTGCTCAGGAGCTGGAGCTGGTGCTGATGAAATTTATAGCAGTCTTTTCTTCTTCTTCTTTTATTTTTATTTTTTTATCCTCAATTTTTTCGTCCTCCTAACTGTTGAGTAATTTATATGTAATTCAGGAAATTGAGAATGTTGTTTATATGGTACAACTTGTATGCTTTAGTAGTTTGTTCTTTTTATGGTTGCTACTCTAGTTGATCTGCAAAGTGAACAATTCTCTCTTGGCTGCAGCTTTGTTTCTAAATCACTGCAATTCTTGCTTCTCTCAAATCAAAGGTTGGAAGTCATGATGTAGCTATTGTTGCATTTTTCAAGAGTTTTGACCATTTTGTCCAATGTTAAAAATACCTTAAATTGATCATACCCATTCTCTTTCAGAATCTCAAATCTCATGCAAGGGTAAGTGCTGGAACGCTCGTGATGTTATTTCCAACAAAATCGACCAGAATTCTAAAGAAATTATTTTCAATTAAACCCTTGGAAAAAAAAAAAACTTAAAAGAGTGGGAAGTTGCTGGCCGAATCTAGAAAAGCAAACCAAAATTGAGCCATTCTCTGTCGTATCAATCAGTCATTTTATTTATCTACTGTATTAATCAGTCTTTTTAAAGTTCTTGGATGTGAAGCTTGAATACAATCAGAGGATATAATATGATCCTGAAATTTCGGCTTCTATCCATGTAATCCAATTTTATCCAATCAAATTGAAGCAAACTTGCACGTGACATTTCCATATGCTAAAAGAAAAAGCAAAGGGGATAAACCTTTTGGCAAAGAATTCCTCTCCTCTCCACCCTTCCTCTCCCACACTTGTCTCTCTGTCAATCTGTCACCATGCCAACTGCTGCAGCAGCATTACACTCTTCTCTGTGTTTCTTTTCTCAGAAGCAGACATCCCAACCCTCAATTTCTCAGCAACCAAACATCCACTTATCGGCAAAGTCCAAAAGCCTTCTTCACAAGCACCCACTGTACACACCAGCGAATACAAACATCTCCTTCGAAATCAAAGAAAAGATTCTATGCCTTGAGATCATGGGAGTTGACTCTGGCAAAGCATTATCCCAAAACCCCTCTCTCCACACAGCGTCTCTAGACTCAATTCAGTCCATAATCTTCTTTCTCCAATCCAAAGGAATCCACCAAAAGGATTTACCAAGGATATTTGGCATGTGTCCAAAAGTACTAACTTCTAACATCAGAACTGACCTTAAGCCTGTTTTCAACTTTCTATCCCAAGACTTAAAAGTCCCAGATAATAACTATAGAAAGGTCATCAACAAGTGCCCAAGATTGCTAGTTTCTAGTGTGAGAGACCAGCTTACACCGTGCTTGTTTTATCTTCAACGGCTTGGGTTTAAAGATTTGGAAGCTTTGGCTTATCAGGACTCGGTGTTGTTGGTTTCTAATGTCGAAAATACGTTAATTCCTAAGTTGAAGTACTTGGTGAGCATAGGGTTTTCAAGAGATGAGGCTGTGGGTATGGTTTTGAGGTGTCCAGCATTGTTCACTTTCAGTGTGGAGAATAACTTCAAGCCAAAGTTTGACTACTTTGCCGAGGAGATGAAAGGGAAGTTGAAAGAGTTGAAGGAGTTTCCTCAATATTTTACTTTCAGTTTGGATAAGCGAATTAAGCCAAGGCACATGGAGGTTGTGCAAAGTGGGGTCGAAGTACCTTTGCCGCTGATGCTTAAGAGCAATGATGAAGAGTTTGGGGAGTTGATAAGGCTAGGCCCAGGGGACAGGGCTGGCTAACGCTCACAGTCCCTGCATCACTTGTTAACATTGTACGTGTTGTATCAAGATGTATATATACTCCAATGATCATTTTATATTTTGTATTTATTATTATCAATGTTATTCATAAATAGGAATGGAGGGCAATTTGAATTGTCAATGATCATGATGACCAGCCACCTGTTTAAGCAAAACTCGAAATTGTGGTACCACATAATCTCATCACTTGATCTCGAGACAGAATAGATATTTGATTTGATGGGAAATCAAAGAATCGAGATTCACAAATATCTAGGAAATAATCCAATCCAACAAAAAAAAGCAAAAAGAATAAATGAGATAAAGACAAGTTAACGTAATTCGAGAAAATTTTGTATATTCCACAAACTCAAATGTGATTCTTTACTATAAAAGAAAATTAGTACGAATATATAATTGTGATTTTCAATTTCAAAATTCAATTCCAAAGCTCTTGGTACATTTACTCTTATATTCAAAGAAAACTTATCAATTCTTGTATAGTAAAACTACATATCTTTTCACCTATTTGTAACTGTCAAAATCCTTGATGAATAAAAAATCTTTTGTGGACAAATAATCTTTAGCGGACAAAGAATTCTTTATGTACAAGAAATCTTTAGCAAACAAAATATTCATTATGGATAAAAAATCCTTAGTCATTACTTCACTCTATTTACTTGGCCATTGCTATAAAAAAATATGAGTGATAAACTCAACAATCTTCACCTTAACGAGATATTCTTTCTATCTTAAAGTTTGTTGGTTCCACCTGCTCATAAATATCGCAAACAAAAATAAAATAAAAATAAAAGTAATCATTGCTCTTAAAATTCATCAACTACATATGATATAAATCATTAAAAAATCATGAACTCCAAGTGATAATAAAAAAAAATGCCAATGCTTATGTGTAGTTATCCAAAGTCAACATTACTTGTTAACTTTTGAGAAAGTCCTCGATCCATTCTCTCTCTCAATAGAATATTTTTTTCTCACATTTGTCTACAACCCGAGAATGCATAATTCTCATTTCTTTTCCAATCATTAAAGAAACTCTTTTCGGGTAGCTAAATCCTATGCACTCTATTCCTAACCATTCATTGATGTCATTGTCTTTCCAATTGAATGACGAAACCATCAAACTTTTCTCCTTTCATTAGGATTGTGTCATCTTGTATGATTTTCAAGACTTCACATATAGCAGAATAATTGTACCATTTGAAGTCTAACTCACTCAACGATATCGATTCCTATGCATATTTAGGACATAAGCCATCCTGCTTAAGGAAAAAACCACTCCATCAAATATTTGATTTTTACTTGTTTTAAGATCCATAACATCATAAAACGACACACCATCCAAAGACATGATGCTAATCTTTTCACCTTGAAACTCATAAAAACATTTCTTCTAAGAATACATAAGTAATACATAAGTAGATTCTAATATCCAACTATAATGAGAAAAAAATGTCAATACCTTCAAAGACTATAGAGACATCTCTATAGTCGTTTACCACCACAAAAGAATTTTCACTATCATCAAATTTATCCATATTCTTTTTTTAAAAAAAGAAGAATATCGCTTGATATAACCAAATTCTTTGCATAGGTAACATTAAATGTCCTTTTTGCTAGACTTGGACTTAGACCTACCACTCTAAAATCCTCTTTTAGTTGATCTTCCTTTTCAATACCTTTTTTTTTTTTTTGTTATGGATACTAGCACAAAGTTAGTTATATATATATATATATATATATATATATATATATATATATATATATATATATATATATATATATATATATTCTTGATTTGACTTTCTCTCGCATCTCATGAAATAAAAATACAACCTATATTTGATCTAAATTCATTATATTCTTACCACATAATAACATTGTCATCATATTTTCAAACAAACTAGGAAGAGGGGTGGGAAGCAAAAGAGCTTTATCTTTTTTCTCAATCTTGACATCAATTTTTCGTAGTTGATCTAGTATATTAATAAACACATTCAAGTACTCTATGAGATTTTTTCCTTCTTTCATCTTTAGCTTGTAAAGTTATTGCTTCGATGTAATTGGTTGGTTAAATTCTTTATTAGATAAATATTTTCTAACTTTTTTTTATATTGTAGATGCCAAATCTTTATCCATAACGTTATTGACAATGTTATTAGGAATACATATTCAAATTATGCTCACACACTTTGATTCTAACTCGTCCTACTCGTATTCTTCCATCTCTATTGGTTTTCCATCCTTTCCCTTCAATACTTTAGCTAACTCTTGTTTAATAAGGATGTCTTTCACCCCCCTTTTTTTCCTAGAGAGTAAACTTCTATTCCAATTAAATTATTCCACGATTAATTGAAACTTGTCATGTGAGACATTGTTTGCAACCATAAGCCAAATCTCTAAAAATGAAAGCTCTAATACTAGTTTGTTAGGACTTTAAGGATCCAAGATTCAAAACATTTCCATGAATAATCCAATTCAATAGAAAAAAATAACAAAGAAGAATAAAGAATGGACACATAAGATTTAATATGGTTTGGAAAAATCTTGCCTACTCTTTAAACTTGAGTGTAATTCTTTATTGTCATAAGGGGAAAAGATGCAACGATGGATGTACGGCGAATGCTTTGGGAAAGATAAAGATATAAGAATAGAGTCGTCATCCCGAATGATTGATCTATACAAAAATCTAAGTAAAAGGTTGGTTATAGATAAGGAAGATTGAAATCATCACTACCACATCCTACTTAAAGTAGGCTGCATTGCATGCATATTAAATGTAAATGTCTAGTCTTATTATGTTATGAGTCTATCTCTATTCGAGTACGTTTATCTTTAGATTGAATTAGATTGATTGAGTAATGTGAGACTTAGGCTCGTCAAAATCCTACTCCCTTACTATAAAATAAAAGAATATTATTAAATTTCAAAAGAAGATTAAAAATGGGATGAAACTCGGTTACACTATCAAATAGACTTGAAAGCCTTCATCATAAATATCACAAATAAAATAAAATGCATTAAAGAAATTGAAGTAAAAACAAGTGACATGAAAGATCATAATTGAATAAAACTTATGGCGTAAAAGAACACGATTAATTTGGATAATGTGACTTGAAAGATCACGTAGATTTAAAATTTTTGACATAAAATACCATGATTAGTTTGAAAAATATGTATGAAAAACCATGCTGATTTGAAAAAAAAAACATGATATGAAAGACCACGGTGATTTTAAAAACATGACATGAAAGATAATGTTGATTTGAAAAATATGACATGACCATGTTGACTCAAAAAGCATGACATGAAAAGATCATTGATTTGAAAAACATGAGATGAAAGACCATGTTGATTTTATAGACGTGACATGCAATACCACGTTGATTTTAAAAACATAAAGCGTAACATAAAGCTTGACATAAAAGACCACGTACATGGTAAGCCACGGATGGCTTCAAGATCACAAACATATTTAAATTGGCGAGCCTCTAAAAAAAAATTAGGGGGCCTTTTAACGGCTACAAGCCTATAACAAAAAATTAGGGAGCCCTCTAATGGCTGTATCCCATAACACAAGATTGGTGTATTACATTTAATTATCCACTAACATGGCATTAGCTCTCATATTTAACCTTGAAAAATTCAAACACATTCAACACACACCATATATAATTCATCACAAATTCGATATTAACTTTCAAAGCTAACCACGATGAATTCAATTCGATATTAACTTTCAAAGCTAACCCCGATGAATTCATTGTATTCATGGATGCCATAATTTAATTCATTACATATATGTCATTAACTTTCAAAATTAACCTTAATCAATTTGTTGTAGTCCGCACACATAACATTTAATTCAATTAAGTCATACAAATAACACATCATGAATACCATATTTAAGTAGCCACACTACGAAGTATCTCGATATAAACATTGTATTCAAATTTATCATATCACATAAACAAACGAGCATAATCGATTACAAATATCAAGATCGACACTCGCCCCGGATAAATCATTAAAATTAAAGCTCATGCCTTATCCTCCACCCTCCATCCTAGAGCATTGATACCGGTATTATTTCTTCTAAAAATACCCGAGTCTCTTATCCTTTTTGGTTTAATAAGCAACGATATATCTTAATCACACTTCAAACATCCATCAATTCACGGATATCATAACTCATTTTTAAAATTTATCCATCCATATTTTGATTTGAATAAAACATAAAAATACTACAATAATGTCAACAACTTACATGATTAGTCAAAATAATTAAGTTCGCCTTTCTTTTGAAAAAGACCAAACTACCCTTATGAAAAATGATCAAATTGCCTTTGTCATGCTAAATGAACAAACTACCTTTATTAATAGTTTGCTCCTAGAATCTTTTTGGATTATTTACAGTCATTTCATCATGTCAAAGCTATAAGAGAAGATCTGTGGAACCTTCATCTACCTTTTAATGAAGATAGTAACCGAGTGTTGTTGGTCGTTAAGGGGAGGAAATCACCACCATCAAATATTTCCTCCTTCTTTCCTCGTTCTAGCAATAAAAAGTAAAAAAAAAAAAACATATTTATGTAGAGTTTATTATTTAGAGTTTAAATTAGTTAAAAATATGTCCTCCTTCTTTGCCTACTCCAACAACAAGAAAAATGTTTCATTTTGAGTTCAAATCTATTAAGAATAGGCCTAAAACCTAAAGAAGACTAGATTTCAATTGGGCAAATGAGTTTAAGGGCTATTTTTAATTAATTGACCCCTTTCCTCCTACAATCATCATCAATTTATAATGTATTGTTTTTAGACTTAGATTTTGTTTAGGGTTTGATTGTTGTTTTTTAAAGTTGTTTTTGGTTTTAGAAGAGTGGGGTTCTGGGCTATAGGGGAGCTTGGTGTGTTAGTAGGACGAGAGGCGAGTTGGTTGCTAGATTTGAAGTTTCGAGGTTGGCATTGTTCACATGTGA